GCAGACAGACTGTGCTGGGCTCAATCCCCAGCTAGACCCTCTGCGGCCAGAGTCACTTGGAGCTGCCACTTAGCCACCTCATGCAGGTGCCCAGGGGCTGCTGAAGGTGCCCAGCATGAGGAGTCTTAGGGCTCCCTGTCCCTGTCATGTTTAGGCTGTGCTTGAGGGCGGCACAGACAAGGCACCTGCCTTCAAGGAACTCACAAGCCTGGAGGCAAGGTGAGACGGGCACACACAGAAACAGGGAAAGGCAACATCAGGCCGTGGCCGTTACAGAGAAGGGGGCCTGTTGGGTGAGGGTCCTTCCCTGAGCAGGGAGTGGGCAGTCAGATCTGAGGGCCTCCAGGGCCGCGATAAGTGGTTTGTTTTTAGACGGGGAGCGTCCTTGGAGGTGTTGAAGGCGGAGGTGCCGTCACTAGGACTGCTGAGAAACAGTCTCTGGGGCGGAAGCCCAGAGGCAGCAAGGAGAAGAGGGAAGATGGAAGTCAGAGCCGGGACCGAGGAGAGGGCCAAGCGTGAGGAAGGGGTTTGTCCTCCAGGGTTTCAACTCGGGACAAGACAGGCGATTCAGGGAGCAGAAATTGGCAAGTTTGAAAGGGACTTGCCCAGAGGCAACTGATGACTTGATGAGTGGAAGAGGTGGAGGGAAAGTCTAGAGAAAACTGTCAAGGACTAATCCACAGGGACACCAGCATTTTAGGGGCAGGGAGAGAAAAAGGGGCTGGTGAAGGTGAGAAAGAGCATCGGAGATGCTGGGAACCCTGGGCGGGGTGGAGCCAGTGGTGGGAACAACAAGCCAAAGGTGTCCAGGCACGAAGACCAAGGCTACCAGACAACCATGAAGTCAGGAGGTTGAAGCTGACCCAATGCCCTTTCCGAAGGCGGTGTCAACAGGGAGGACGACCAAGGGAAACAGTGGCAATGTGTAACAGCAGAGGTAGACCACCCCTTATGTTTGGTTGGCAGTCAAGAGAAGAGGCTGGTGGAAATTTGGGAGGATAAGTGGGAAGAAAGTCGGGAGGGTCAACATTCAAATGTTTTAGATTAAGGGCATTCTGTGTGTGTCTGTCGACAGCAGGGAAAGTGACAGCAGAGATACTCAAGAGACAGAAGGGATAAGGTTAGCTTGAATAGAGATCATTTGTCTGGTTTCATCGTGACAGAGCTCAAAGGAGGCTTAGATAAAGTACGGCACAGGCTGCGTGCCAAGGCAGGGGATGCCAGATGTTGACCGTCACTGGTACCCACATTTGTCCCTACAAGGACGACCATTCTGTCTTCGAAATGGCGCAGCTGGTAAAACTGTCCTCCAGCACGACGTCGGGAACAAGGAGGCGCACGCCTGCACGTCCATCTGTGCTCGCTCTGCGCTTCTGGGTCCCCACCTCGCCACCTGGCCAGCACTCGCTGCTGGCATCTGCCACGGCCCCACTTTTCCGAACGTTCCTCACCCCAGACCCCGCACGTTGTGCCTCTGTTGAGCCTGGTCCCGCTGCGCTGGGATGGTCCATGCCTACTTCTGCTGAGTCCCATCCCCTCCATCCTCCTTCGTAGGGAAAACCCATCCCCACCTCCCCCAGTTGTGTTCATTATGGGGCACTTTACAAACCTCTTCCTTTCTCTCATCCATAACATTTATGTCCTACAATCAACGCGAACTTCATACTAAAACCACTAGCTCCTAACATCCCAAAGCTGTGCTGCCTTCTTCCCGTAATCAAAAATGAGATTTTCCTCCCAGTAGATGGACCCAGGGAGGAGAGCAGACAGGATTTATTTTGTGGGGGCGCCATGGCCACGACTTCATTCCTTTCTCCAGCAACAGAGCGGGCCCTGGAGTCAGGGAGGTGGGACAGTCAGGGGCACGGCAGAGCTTGCCAAAGCTCCAGCCAAAGGAAGAAGGGACCGAATGTGGGGATGTCAGTGAGGTCCCAGACTGTCACAGGTGGCAACAGGGAACAAGCTGTTGAGGGACAATGGGACAATGGGGCTGGCCAGAGAATGGACATTAAGAAGAGGCTCCTTGGAGCGAGGGAGCCCAGAGGAGTCCAACAGGGAGGCTCAGGGCGGGTGCTCACGTCAGAGGCTGGTGGCGGGTGAGCGGGGATGACAAGCCTGGGAACGTGGGGCCAGGGTGTGAGAGGGTCCTCGGCGTGGACCCTGAGGCTACAGAGAATGCCAGCAGGAAACATAAGGGGACAGTGGGAAAAGAGGGAGTCACCAGCAGGCAGGAGCGACTAGGAGCTGGGGCCCAGACGCGGCTGGTGAGGGCAGGAGAAGCTGGGGAGCGAGGACGGCAGAACAGTGTTGAAAGGACACGGGGACGCAAGGGCCAGGGCAACAGAAGTCACATCCATTGGAGAGACATTCAGACTAAGGAGGAAAGCAAGAGCAGGAAAAAGGAAAATGACAGAAAGTGAAATGAAAAAAATAAGCAAGCGTGTTCAGAAGTGGCACAAGGGAACAAGGAATCAAAACATGACGCTGCGGCTGCCTCTACGATGGGTTTTATGAGACATAAAGCAGAAATGTGTGAGCTTATTACACAAAAGAGATCGGGCTGTAGCCTGGCATGTAGGCAATAATTCAAAGTAATCTCTATGAATTATTTTAAAGATCAAAGTAAGAAACCAAGGGAAAAACCGAAAGCTCCACCCGAATCCCTTCCAAGAGCACACGCCCACCGCTCCTTTCCTCTCGCGCCTTCACCCTGTTCGTTAGCATCAAGGAACAATCGTTCCACAGACAGCTGCTGTGGGACCTGGGTCTGGGAAGCTGCAGGGGATGGGCTGTCAAGGAGACCTACCCACGGTGGCCCACGGGGAGTGGGCAAGGGCAAGGCCGAGAACGGGGCCAGGCGCGCTATCCTCGTGGGGCCGCCTGCTGCACCACCGTCCAGGACCAGCCCGGGTGGCCCCTACAAAGGAACATCCCAGAGTAGAGTTCCTTACCCTGAGCCTTCTCTCCTGCCAACCTCCCTCACACCTGCCCTCCCTGGGTGTCCCTCCCAGCCCCAGCCAGGCTGACAGGTGAATGTGGCACAGGCATCAAGGATCAGCACCCTCGGCCCTTCCAGGGGCCAGCTCCAATGTCAGGCAGCTGTCAGCTCCAATGTCCTCTCCCTCCCAGCCGCCACACTTGTTTGCTTTGCTTCCAACCCTGTGACCACCCCCAGGAATGATCATGCCTATTTGTTCACCAGCTCACTGTCAAAGTCCCCTGACAGAAAGCAAGCTCCCCAAGGACCAGGACCGTGTCCCCGAGCCTGGCACAGTACAGCGAGGTGATCAATGCACATCTGTCAGGTGATGGGGGGTCTGCAGCCATGGCAGGGTTGGTGGGGACAGTCTCTCTGGAGACCAGCCTTTCGATGCCCCTGCTAAGCCCCCCACTCTCCCATATGGAAAGCTAGCCTGGCCCGTGAGGTCTAATCTAGCAGAATGAAAATGAACACAACAGTCTCCATTATTACCACCAAGAAAAATGCTCCCTCTTCCCTACGAATCTGCAAAATGGAGTAGAAAACAAATTCTTTCCAGAGGAAGGTTTAGGGTTCAAATAGAAATGATTGTGAGGAACTGGCAACCGTTTCCCCAGGAATGGGCGCGCTATAGACAGCAAGCACTTCAGAGCTGCGCTGGGAGGATGGGGCGGGGACCAGCCTTCTTTTCCTCATTCCCTTCCTCCAGGGCCGAGTTCCTCCCACACATAGCTCAGAACTCCCTTGAAAGGCCCTGCAGTGCCACTGTCAGGACGCCTGAGGAACTGCTCCCTGTCAGCTCCCCACCGACAGGCCCAAGGCAGGGAAAAAAGGATTATTGCTAACCTCAGGCCTTCGTGAAGTCCCAGCAGAGAGAAAACTAGGCACAACTCCATGAGGAACAAAGACACAGTGACTCTCCTGTCCGGGCACTTGACCCCAAGGGCAGGCCCTAGACCATGGTTTCAGTGCCACTTGTTTACAGCCGTGTCCTTGAAGGGTCACCCACTCGCTCAACACACCATCTCCAGTTGTGAACAACAAAAAGCGTCGCCAGCCTTTCTCTCAGGGCCTCCCGTAGGGAATTCGGTACAGAAACAAAATTCTGTCTACACAGAGCATGAAGTGAAAGTATCCAGACCCCTGAACCCGTTTCTGGTTGCCAGAGTTTCGAAAGCCGCTGGACAGAGGGAAGGGGACGGTGGAGCACCGCCAAGCAGCATGCAGAGTAGGGCTGTTTCCCAGCCTCCACCAGCCAACGCGGGAGGTAAAATCAAATCTGGGGCATGAAACACGGGCTAGTACTCTCAGGTGTCCGAAAAATCCATTTTATATTGTCTGCTCCAATCACACGTGCTTAAAAAAGTAATGTAAAAAGAAAAAGACTTTGCTTAAGAAGGATCCTTTCAAATAATCATAGAAGTCTACATTCTGACTGACTTAAAAAGGGTTATCAGAAGAATTCCAACATGAATTCTATAAAGATAGTGAATAAGAAAAATAACAAATATCTCAACTGAGAAACAGGCTAATTATTACAGAGGAAAGATAATTACATAAAAATAATTTACATAAAAAATAAAAGGGATACATATGAAAACATATACTCTCTTAAAATTAAAGAAATTCAAAACAAAATACTACCTCCCTCCCATCAAGGAAGCATTAGAAAACAAATAAAAATCAGTAATATTAAAATAAATATTAAAGTTGATTCACTAGAGGGAAAATAAATTAGCATAATCTCTAGAGGGCCATTTGGCAGTATTTATATAAATCCTTTAAAACAGATATGGTTTTCTGACAAGCAACACAACTTGTGGGAATTCATCTTGTGGAAAGAATCCAGTTTCAAGTGCCATCTATAAAAGGAAATTTGCAAAGACCCCAATGTCTAACTATGGGGGACTTATTAAATAAAATGGCTGTTTACTCAATGGACTACTATGCAGCCATTGAAAAATATGTCTTTACTGACCCAAAAGTGTTACTGAAATATTACATAGGGAAAAAGTTAGGTAACTTTAAAAAATGCATTTATGATCCAACTTAGCCACCATTATATTTATTTATATATACATCTATATACATATGCATAGCAAAGAGAATAAAACAAGATACTCCAAGGGGACAACAGAGGTCATCTGGGTAGCTGAGACTATGACTGAATTTCTAAATTTTTTTTACCTTTTATTTTCTGAGATTGCTGTAATAAAATATATTGCTTAGGTAATAAGAAAAAACAAGTAAGATGATTTCTTAAACTGAATAGAAAAAGAAATTCCAAAATGAGTTTCATGGAGCTGAAGCGGGAAGAGCAGGCGGGAGGCTGGCAGCGTTGCTAGAAGAGCATCCACTGCCCGACAGATGCTCGCTGTCCCTGCCCAGAGCAGGCGCCTCAGGCCACGGAGCTCTAACTTCCTCCAGCTTCGTCAGAGGGTATACTCAGAAGGAAGTAGAAAAACTGGTATTTTGAGAACACTTCCCATGTTACTTAAAGAATTTAAAAGCAAGGATATTTAAATAGGACTTAACTGTATACTCATGTACTTTAAGTAAAAAAACAAGTTCTACATAGTTCCTAGTGGGGACAGGGATGCCAAACAAGCGTCTTGAACCAAGACAAGAACCACATAAATAACAGAAAGGTCACAAGACAGTCAGCAATTTTTCTACTGAATTAATCTCATTCCAGGGTGAAATTTCAGGATTCCATTGCAATATTTACTGCAAAAAAAGATAAAGTAAAAACTGCTCAGTAAGAAAAACATGATACAAATTACATGAAAACACATTACATAAACCCCGAAGGATTTTCTCTATATATCACCCTGTGAATTAGATTATCTGAAGTCTTTCATTCTCCAATTCTTTCAGACCACGAGGCCGATGCCTCTGTAAAATGTCACTGATGGCACTTCTTGTGGTGTGGCCTTAGACGGTGTATCTTTTCTCTCCTTCGTGTTTAGCCTTGTGGTACTTGAGGTAATCGTTGTACAGCTCCTTAAACACGTCCCTCAGCCCCGGCTGCAGTGAGGCCCGCAGGAACCTGACATCCGGCTCGATGCAGAGGTCCAGGACGAGGTAGATGCCCTCCTGCAGCAGGCTCCTCACGGCCGGATACAAGGTCACCTGGGAAGAGAGGCACACCCCAGTGAGAACGAACTGGGGGCAGAGATCCAGCCGCATCTCCTGCCGGCACATCCTGGGAAGAACTGACAAGTAATTTCAACTTCCATCTCCGAGTTGAGAAAAAATAGACATTTACAAGTTTATATTTTGGGGGAATAGAAGCTAACTCAAGCAAACAAAACCTGGAATAAAACTCCATAAAATCACAGGGGTAGCTTTGTTATTTGGTAAATGATGCCCACATGTTTACCAGGGACATTAAAAAAAACTGGGCTCTTTAAAATCAAAAATCTTATAGTAACAGCCACCTGCCCATTGTGTCAAATTCCTCCACACTGTCAATCACCTCGGAGCTATGCTAACTGTGGGACAACTATGAGACTGTGACCCCATTTCAATCAGAACAAGGCAGGCGTGCTCTGACACTACCAAAACAGATCATCCACAGGCCTTATTAGTAGTTAGATCACATCGTGTCACCCACGAGCAGAAATGATTAATGACTGTCACTGATAGACACTTTTCTCATTTCTGTCAACAACAGTACAATATGCCCCCAATTCCTAACTGCCCGGGAAAGGCTGAATTGGTCCTTGTGCCTAGGGACGCATTTCTTCCCTGAAGTACGGGGTTAACTAAGATCTGACACGAGCAGCAGGAGTGGCAGGCCAGCTCCAACCTGGCTATACCTGACGCTCCGCCCAAGCTTCCCGAGCAGAGACTCAGACTAACATCTAACCAAAAAGGTCAGAAGAGCAGGCTCCCCTGGCATTTATTCAGGTTTCAGCTGAACTTGGTTTGAACAGAGTTCGAATACCCCAGCAGTTGAAACCAGAAAGCAGCAGTAATGAGGAATGCTGGGGACGGATGAGGGTGACAGCTGCATAACATCATGAATGTATTTAATACCACTGAAGTGCACACTTAAACGTGGCAGGGGTAAGGTTCCAGCTGCCAGGCCTAGGGTTCGCTGATTCCTTATCACCTCCCTGATGACCTGAAAGAGTCAACACCTCTCTGCAAACACAGTTTCTAATGAGGACACATTTTGTTAACTAGGAGAACTCTGGTTCACAAAGGCATCCACTGGGAAGTAAGTTCCTAAAGAGGCCATTTGTTTCTGTCACTAAGATGACGCTATTCTTCAAAGTTATGGTCCTTTTCATGTGACAGTTCAAAACCGTTTGACAGGTGATCATCTTAAATTTTACCACCTTATAGATGACGGGCACACTCAAGGACTGAAGGTAAAATGCTTTGCCTGTAACTTCACAGCAAGGCAACGGGGTAGGAAAGAAAAGACAAAACAAAATGAACAAATAAAACCGCAAAAGTCATCCTTGATCTTATTGGTAGGGAGAGGGCTTTGTAAGTGGACTGCTTGTTCATTCATTTAATCATCACTTAATAAACAAATAATTCTACTTCCAAAGGCAAAAAGGAAGCTCACTGACTTCCCCAAGGCCACACAGCGAGTACCTGGCATCACTGGGATCCAAACCTGGGCAGTCTAAGTCCAGAGCCCATGCTCTGAACTATTATTTCACATGGTATCTCAGCAGTGAAAATGTAGCCAAACAGCCTCTAGCAAAGAGCTCTAGGGGTCACAAGGAAGGCCAGTAGCATTAAGACGACACAACCACTTCACATCAGATATTTTATTTATAAAACAAGGAAAAAAGTCAATTTCTACAACACTAAGATCACTGGCCAATGAATAAAAATATCCCTAAGGAGCTTAAAAGGACCTTAGGCAGGATGAGCACTACAAACTATTTACTCTGAACTATCAACATACAGATGGTCCCCAACTTAAGATGGTTCAACCTAAGATTTTGGACTTTAAAATGGACATATCAACAGCGTAAGCTGAGGAGCACCTGGACTTAACAATGGGTTGATTCACAATTTTTGACTTTTATGATAGATTTATCAAGGTATTAAATGCATTTTTGACTTATTATTTTCAACTCACTATGGGTTTATTAGGACATAGCCCCTAAATCAAGGAGCGTCTGTAAAGGGACTGTTTGGTCTGGGGGTAAAAGAGATGAAAGTCACCATAATTTCCCTGTGTGTTTCCACTGGGACTCGTTACTGCCGGGAGGAAGTAACACAAGTGGGCCTGTGGAATTGCCCCTTATCCTGACACTGTCCTACCAGGTCATCTGCCCTGACTACCAACAAGTCCTACCACCAATATCCCAGTTGGCAGAAATATGAGGGAAATGCAAAGGAGATCATTTAGCTGCACTTGCTATCTAGCATTTAATTAAACTTAAGCATGCTGGTCTAGAAAGATTTACGTCTCTCTCAGTTAGAAGCCTCTAATGCAAACAGAATATTTTCTTCATTACTGAATTTAAAAACAAATGAAAGATAAAATCACAGACTGCATTGCCAGTGGATTCTGGGATGCTATGGCCTTAGATAATTCCCAAGGCCTTTGGCTTTCAAGATTAAAAATAAAACTATAACTGATAAGCACAAATTAGACACAAATAATGAGGCCAGGAAACCAGAGACTTTTCATAATGTAAATCTCAGAATAATAATTAGTAACTTAAGGGTTCAAATTACTGCTTCCCTTCTAGGCCTTTAGCAAAGTGATAGTACTGTGTTTCATTTTATTCTTCCATATAACAGAAAATAATGCCGGCTTTTCTTTCATCAAAAGCTTACATATTAATGACTTGAGTGCTTGAGAAACAACAAGACTCTATAAAAATGCTAAATAATTGCAAGGAAGCCAAATTACAAACCCACATCGTGGTCAAAGGATGATTTGAAGGGATCGTCTCATGCTGTCAGGCTCTCACCAGGTAAGGACCTGGGCCCTGGACTGATGTGGCCACGTTGCCCCAACTCCCTCACTCGCCAAGGTGAGCAAGGCCAGTGAAGTAGAAAATTATTTAGTAGTTATAGACTTACCTGAAACAGGAGTAGGGAGGGAAGCTGATATAGCTCCAGAAAGCCCATTCGGCCTAAGCTCCCTTGAGAAATGCTGACATCTTTACCCTGACAAGTTTACCAGTGATTTTACTATGGTTCTTATAAGATTTACAAAGGGAGGGGGTGGAATATTTTATAGAGAAACAGAAAACAATATAAATGTATATCTATAAATACACAAGTAGACAGATACACAAATACACTGCACTTTTCTTAAGCCTATTACAGTCAATTTAAACAAAGTAAGAGTTATACAACCTAGATTTATAAAGTAGTCCTGGAGTGAACTTACCATGGGCCACATAGGGTCTTATGGAATTTTAAAATTAGCACATCAACATTCCAAAGTAAGATAACTATTGAATAATGAATTATCCAGAACACTGAGTCAAAAAAAAATCAGACTAATTTGGACAAAAGTAGTTTTCCTTAATCTATCTGTATCTCCACCTTGCCAGCTACTGTGAGTGTCTGAGAGCAGCTGAGTCACATGACTGACAGAACCCCCAAGAGTATAGATCCGTGAACTCCTGCTGCTGAGGGGACTCCAGAGCCCCAAGGTCCGGAACCCCCCTTTGTAGTCTCCATTAAGCCTGGTCCTATGAGAGCTCCTGTTCCTAGATCTGGGTAACATTTCATCTCTCTATTCTATTACTCCAGAGACTAATCAAAACAGGTCCCAAGGTTTGTGCTAGAGCAAGAGAGAACAATTATCGAGCACCTTCTGTGTACAAGGCCCTGCTGAGCCCTCTGTGTATCATTTCATTCAGTCCTTACAACAACCTTGTAGGGATGCTACTAAACACCTTAAAATGCACAGCCCACCACAATAGAGAACTATCAGACCCAAATCATTGCTTGCCATTGTGGTTGAGGAACTCTGCTTAGGGACTATAAACAAAAGCACTTGGTGAGAGACATATAACCTGATTTTACCTTCTGTACCTCCGACACATACTGGGCCACCATAAATGGGGAAAACACAGTGAACTCTTCAGCTCGGGCAGCGATGTGGCTATACATCCTTTCAACCAGGCGCGCACACTCGAGGACCACGGACAGGTCATCTGTGCTTCCTACAGAGAGCAAAGCATATCCCAACCCATTAGTTCAAAAACAGTGCCTTCTAACTCTTCTAATTTTTATAATTTTAATATAGATGGAAATGATCTCAAATGTTACATTTTTCCAGACTCTTTAATTGGCTTATTTCGCAGATAAAATAAGGAAGAACAGATATATCCAAATATAACAAAGTAAAAAACACTTAAAATTCTCAAGAGTCCTTGGGTTTTTTTAAGGGTCTAACTAGAATAGAAATCAAGATTTCTAGGATGAAATTTAGGATCACTATTGTATTTTAAAAGGAGATGGATTTCTATAAGAAAGACATAAAACAAAAAAAATTTGGAAAATTATCTTAAAGGAAAAATGGTTTATTAACATCATATGATTTAAAAGATGCTCTAATTATGTCTTTGCCTCCTTAAGTTTCAGAAATTGTGTGCATGCCTTTTATAGGCATACAGATAATACAACTCAATTGGCATTATTAGATCTCCTCCTGTCTTCCCAGATTTATTTCTGACTCCTAGTTCTTCCCACCATATGGTGCCAGGGCCATCCAGGCCCTCTTGACAAACTCCTCCCAAGAATTCTAATTGCCTAATGTGTCCCCCTTGAGTAAGAGCCAATGGGGAAGTTCCAGCACATGCCAGAGTACCTTCCCTGTTTTCATACAGCATAACGGAAAGCCCATTTTTATAAACTTGTAGATTAGAAAATGCACATGAATCCAGTGACAAAAAGCAGATCTCTGGATGCCCAGGGCTAGGGCCAGAGTGGGGAATGGACTGCAAAGTAGCAAGAGGAAGCTTTTGGGGATGTTGGAAATGTTCTTCTATATTTTGATACTGGTGTTGGCTCCACACCCACACTTAACTGTCAAAACTCATTAAGTTGTATACTCTAAACAGATGCAGTTTGTTATACATACATTATATACACATAAATAAAGTAGATTTTTGGAATGCACAATACCTTTTTTTAAGATCCTGAATAAGCATACAAAGATCTTTTATGGATGTTATTTTGCTAGATCAGTATAATTTTATGAAATTATGTATATTATTAACATTCATGGGGCATTTCAACAGGTAATATACTTTGGTGATATGCTTTAATACCTAACATAGACTGTTTCTTCTCTTTTTAGACTGTTCAACATACAAATGCTGTTTACAACATAAATACCTGGCACTTGTTATTTCAGCCACAGATTTAATGTATGCTCACTAAAAATGGCACATTAGATACCAATAAAAAGAGAATAAGCCAGGTACAGTGGCTCATGCCTGTAATCCTAGCACACTGGGAGGCTGAGGCAAGGCAGGAGGACTGCTTGACGTCAGGAGTTCAAGATCAGCCTGAGTAAGAGGGAGACCCTGTTTCTACTAAAAACACAAAAAATTAGCCAGGCATGGTAGCCCATGCCTGTAGTCCCAGCTACTCAGGAGGCTGAGGCAGGAAGATCACTTGAGACCAGAAGTTCGAGGATGCAGTGAGCTATTATGACGCCACTGCCCTCTAGCCCAGGCGACAGAGCGAGACTCCATCTCAAAAAAAAAAAAAAAAAGAGAGAGAGAGAATGAAATAGTTAAAATTCTACTTGGTTAAGCCATGAATATATCCGAGAACAGGTCTTGGCAGATCAGAGATGATCAAGCCATGCCAACATGGATGCAGCAGAAAGCTGCAGGTGTGGCACACACTCCCTTGCTTCCTCAGAATATATGACTATGGCAGTGTGACCAGGCTGTGCTCCACCACTGCTCAGCAAGGCCCAGCTGGGGCCTTCCATTCAGGCAGAAATCACTACCAGAGTGGGGTTTCTTCCTCGCTGAGCTCAGACATGATCTGAGAGGCCCCGACACAGAACTGCAGGTAGCCACCACCAACCAGCTGGGGCTAGCATGGGAGCTGAAACTTGTTTGCCAATGCTGCTCCAAAACAGGTTCACAATATCAAGGAGACATGTGCTCTGCACCAGGCAGGGGAGGAAGTGAAATAGGTAACTATGCCACTCACTGATCCCAATACCAGGCAGAGCAATTTGAGAACTATAGCCCAGTTAACTATGCCCTTTCTCTTTTCTCAAAAGTTGACTGCTTAAGGGGCTACTGCTAAAATCTACCAGTCTGAACCACACTGGCAGAAGAGAAGTTGAGCACCACTCATACTTCTAGTCAGTCCACAACTACTGTCACATGGTCTTCTCTGATACCCTCAAAGTTGAGTTTTAAACCCCTTCTTTGTGGTCCCAGGGCATCTGATCAGACACCCTGTCCTTGTGCTTAGCACATTACAATGGTATAGGGCTGGTACCTGGTACGCAATTTCAAAATAGTGCAATGTAAAATAGAAAGTCACATTTTATGTGCAAATTTTTTTTTAGACAAGAGTCTCACTCTGTTGCTTCGAATAGAGTATAGTGATGTCATCATAGCTCACTGTAACCTCAAACTTCTAGGCTCAAGTGATTCTCCTGCCTCAGCCTCCCAAGTAGTTGGGACTACATGTGCATGCCATCACACCTGGCTAATTTTTCTATTTTTAGTAGTGACAGGGTCTCACTCTTGCTCAGGCTGGTCTTGAACTCCTGAGCTCAAGCTATCCTCCTTCCTCCTCCTCCCAGAATGCTAGGATTAAAGGCGTGAGCCACCACGCCTGACCGTAATTTTTTAAATAATGAGAAAATCTCCCCCAAATTAGTTCAGCAAGAATCAACAAACTTCAAAGATGAAAAATGAATTGTACACATATATGCTACTGCCATACGGCAGTTTGTTTCACTGATAAACACAGCTTTGCTGCGATGAGGCTGGAATGGCAAACTGCAGGAGGTCGTCCCTTTATAAAATGAGACAGCTCTCTACCTACCAGTTCATTTTTGCCTCTCACTGAGCTATACCCTCCTCAAGGGCAAGAACGAGGCTGCAGTCATTTTTATATTCCCTTTATATAATATATATGCTCAGTAAACATTTCCTAAATCTAGACATTTTTTTCCCCAGAAAAAGAACTATTTCAATTAGGAGATGCTAGATGCATCCACTGTTTTGGATATGGCAAAATGTGACAGTTTGAAATTTTTAAAAAATTATTTTGAGTATTCATTTGATTATCTGAACATTTCTCTTATTCAAACATAACTGAGTAGTTTCTAGCAACATATGTAGCCAGTGACACCACATGATAAATACACTTGAAACTGTGTACCTGATATTGTTACTCTGAATTACCTTTGTCTTTCTGTCGCCCTTCATGAATAACTGAAAACACCAATCTATTAAAAGAGTTCAAGAAAGAAGGGATGGCTTTCAGCATTACCTGTAATAATAGATAAAAGAATATAAAAGTATGTAAGTGATTATTTAAGTTTTTCTACTTTAAAGGAGCTCATACTTGCTTCCTTCTTAGCCTTGTCTGTGAGGACACTCAAAACAGTGGTGTGTACCATTGTAGCCACGTCCTTTTCCCTGGACATGCTGGTGTTACAGTTCACCCATCTAGTGTTGGACTTTTTAACCCTTGGTTGAACCGTTTGGGATAGGGATTCTTCACTGTGTAACTTCAGGAATCTATGGGGCAATCCTGGTTTAGAATTTGCTGAATCTGTACCTTTTACTCTAAGCTGGTGCTAATTCATTCTGGAAATGGGTAGAAATAAATAATGAAAGGAATAATACTAACCAACTTACTCAAGTATACTTGGTATTTAAAAAAAAAAGAGTACATAAAGCAAATTCACTTAAAATGGGGACCAAAACATCTCAAATAGTAGTGGTGAAAAGGTCTGCTTCGGGACTTTATCTTGAAAAATGAGATTAAAATGATAAAACATGCTTCTTTTATACTCAACTGTCCTTAAGCGGGGATCACAACCAGACACTGTCCAATAGAGCTGCCATAAGCCACACGGGACTGATATTTAAATGAATTAGAATAAAATAAAATTAGGTATTCGGTTCCCACTCACACTGGCTGGTAGTCAAGACAAGTGGTTACTGGGCTGGACAACGCACACACCCATCACTGCTAAACATTCTACTGGACAGTGCTGAACTAATTCTTGAATGAATAAACAGTAAACCAAGTGTTGTGATTTTTCTCTTTGGTATAATCTGTCCAACAAAACTCTTGATAGCATAATAAATACTATATCCTTCATGTCAAATTATCTGCAGCATGTTCAGAAATAGGACATTTTTGCAAAAGTGTTCCAGAGCTTTATTCAATTCCCCAAAGACCCTCTCTTAATCCTTTGCTGTCATATTGATGAAAAGCACACAAATATGGGGCCAGACTCTCTGGGTTCACACACTCTGGCTCCCACGTGATCCTGAGCATATCATCTAGCCTTTTTTTTTGGTATATGTGTGCCTCAGTTTCCTCATCCACGAAATGAGGATAACAAGTTAAAACATGTAAAGAGCTTAGAACACCAACAGCTGCTGATGGTTCTGCTGGGTTTTCTGGCTGTGCTGATTTCTTGCTATGCAAATGCAGACCTACTATGCACGTGGTCAACACTGTGACTGCACATCAGATTCCCCATTCAAGCCCACAAGCAATACATGAGTGTGAGCTGCTAGGATGAGTCACGTCACTCTTTACTACACTAACATGCCATTATCCTTGTCAATTCTACTCATTAAATGATCTAATTCCACTAAATGGTCATTTGTTAATGGTTTTGCAGGAGATTCAAGCGGCTTGCTTGCTTTTTCTTTCTTCCTTCCTTCCTCTTTCTTTCCCTTTCCCTTTCCCTTTCCCATTCCTGTTCCCTTTCCCTTCCTTCCTTTTTTACAGGCATGGAATTGCACACATCCAGCAGCTTTCTAATATTACTTTCATCAACTCCATGAAACCCTGCATCTTTTGCAAGAGCTGCAATTTTAGTTTGTAATTTGCATTGTATTTATATTGTACAGTCACATAAAAATCTAACATCAGCAGAGAGATTTAATAACAGAGATGCTGACAATGTAAGCAGGACCAAAGGCATTTGTTAACTGGGGAAGGCTTTAGAGCGAGGCCAAATTTCATCTTCGTTTAGTTTGGTAGAGAATATTTTTTTTTAAAACTGCATTGCCGGCGGTCTCTATCCTTATAACATCAAAATACTTAAAAAAAAAAAATCTGAATGTGTATGTGTATGTTATATACGGTCATGCCTGTAAAACACCATTTTGGTCAATGATTGCATGTATGACAGTGGTCCCATGAGATGCTAACACTGTATTTTTACTGTACCTTTTCTATGTGTAGATATATAAATACTTACCATTGTGTTACAGTTGCCTATGGTATTCAGGACAGTAACAGGCTGTACAGGTTAGTAGCCAAGGCCGTGCCCCATAGCCTAGGTGTATAGTAGGCTATTCCATCCAGGTTTGTGTAAGTACACTCCGACATTTGCACAATGACAAAATTGCCTAACGATGCGTTTCTCAGAACATATTCCTGTCATTAAGCAACACATGACTGTATATCATAAGTTCCTACTTGTCAGCCACATGTGTAGTGGTGGCACCATGAAAAGAATGCTGGTCAAAGATATCAACAATCTTGAGTCTAAGATTTAGACTCAGCTAAGTAGACATTGGTCAAATCGCTTAGCAGCGCTGAGCCTGTTTATTCATCAGTAACTGGGATTACTACCTCCTTCACAGGCTTGCTCTAGGGGTGAAACATAGCAAATGTTCAGTAATGTTAGCTGAAATGCAATCTTTTCCATGGGACACTTATTCCCAGTCTCAGTTTAACATAAAAGGCAGCATATTCAAGAGGCTTCACTCCCTACACCCATTTGAATTATAAACCCAACAAGAGATATAAGCAAGTGAGTGACTTATTTAAATATGTGGCCAGCAAACAGAATAATTTCTAGTGAGCTTCCTTAAACAGTGTAGTATCCCTTATCCAAAAGGCTTGGGACCAGAAGTTTTTAGATTTCAGATTTTGGAATATTTGGAATACATAATGAGATATCTTGGAGAGGGGACCCAAATCTAAACACAAAATTCATTTATGTTTCATATGCACCTTACACACACAGGCCGAATGCAGTTTTATACAATATTTTTCATAATTTTGTGCATGAAATGAAGCTTTGACTGTGTTTTGACTGCAACCTGTCACATGAGGTCAGGTGTGGAGTTTTCCATTTGTGGCATTATGTCAGCGTTCAAAAAATTTTGGATTTTGTTGCCTCTGGTTGGGGTAGAGATGAAAAAAAAAAAGTTTTGGATATTGGAGCATTTCAGATTTCAGATTAGAAACACTCAACCTATAGTACACAAATACTATTCAAAGTGTCAGATCCAACAAAGATGAACTCACTCAAACAGCCCAGCGTGAAGGTCAAGCATTTTTGTGCTTGAGAAACCACTTGGCCCTGAAAATTACTGAAACTAAAAAGTTTGCCTAGCAAATCGTTATTTATATTATCCTGTGAGACTAAAGTTTTACTGCCGCTTTTCTAAAGGCTTAAATTACCCCACTCACAAAGAAAAAGCTGAATGACACTCTTTCCTCCTTCTCACCTTAGGGTGACACTGCAGGATTGAGAAGAGCACATTGTGCATCCTTGGGAAGATGCTTCCATACTCCATTGGCTTCAGGTGGTCCAAAGGGACTGTGAGCAGGATGCTGAAGGCCAAGCTGACGTGGTGGGGGTTGCTGATGGCCTCCTCCCCCTGCCGCAGCAACGCAGCCAGAACATCTAAGATAGACTCAACCACAGGGAGGGGCATAGGCTGCTCCTGACAAGCCTCTCGGTTTTGCAGCTACAGTGGAAGATGGGACAAAGGAGAAAGGAAAAACAAAGGTGATTCTCCAAAATAAACACAAAAATACAGTAATACAAAAAAGCTTTGAGTGACTGAGAGAAGAATGTCCATGCTCCAAAATGAAGTGACTCGGTTAACGGGCAGTTGGACATTATTTGTTAAATTTCTTACAAATCACCTCTAGTTAAAGATGTTCTACATTGTTGTTCTAGAAAATAATGAGAACAGACTCACATGAGGGATAGCTCGAGTCTTACCTACGTAACCAAGGAGAGTTCACCTGTGACTCCACCCTCCTCAGACACTGAGCACTGAGGCCTTTTGGGAGTTGTCTCTTACACTGCACCTTTCGGCCAGGTTTCTGGCTGTGCAGACTCCTTGCTATGCTCTTTAGATGGACCTAAGTGGATTCTAGCCTGGTGTTCCTATGAGTGCAGATCTACTGTGGTGTCACCAGCACGGGTGACCGCCCCATTCAGCCCACATGCCTGTCCCAGTGCTCACCACACACGCTTGGTGATGGCGACACCTGCATCCATTAATGCGGACGGTTCAGGAAAACGACAATCAGTGAAACTGACAGCAGGAGGACAGAACGTTACAGCTATGGTTACACCCTCTGCCCTGGGAATCTGCTGATCCTAGGCAATTCTCTGGTAGCAAAAGCTGGGGCTGAGGCTGAGGATGGCAGTGAAATAGACACTGCTCCTTTGCACCTAAGCACAAGCATACTCAGGTCAGAATCTCTAGAGGCAGAAACACTGAGACAGTCCCAATCTGAACCAGGCTTCTATTCTAGTGAAACAAAACACCAAGCAATTACCGGACACAAAATTTAACATTTTAATATTATAACAATAACCTCCTATCTGCAACGTTACTATCCATTCTATAAAGCATTTTTCCCCTCACTGTATCATAGGTCTTACACACATATACTCCTACAAATACGAGAATGCACTAAACTGACCACAACATTTCGTGGGGGCAAAGAATGCCCCAGAACTCCTTCTTATCTCATCTGATTAAACAGGCTTCCACAGCAGCCTCTCCTCGTCACCACATTCCTCTCACTACTGCCTGTCTGATGCTCCTTAATGCCCCTAAATGTCCCCTGACACCACCCCCTTTCCACAGCTTCTGCTAGCAACACCAGCGTGTTCAGACAGGACACAGAAACTTGGCATCTTGCGCGCAGCCACCTTCGGGGAGCACTCGCACACTCTGCAGACAACCAAGGAGGCAGAACCCAGAGGGCTGCCTTTTGTCTTCACGGGAAGAGAGGGGATGAGGTGGAGCGCGTATCTCCAGAGGGTACTCACCGTTAGTGCCGTGACTATCTGGGGACACGCAAGCCACAGCAGACTGGCCTTCTCTCCGCTGAGTGGGCAGTTCAGCAGCAGCTTGAGCAACGTAACAGCTGACAAAACAGCCTGAGCCAAAAGGGAAAACTTTAGAAGTAGAGACAGCCGACTCCCTGATAGGGACAATTCCCCCTGGGAAAGAAGCCTGCTCCCCGGGGCTGCAGTGACAGAGTGGAGCCTTGAGAGCTCCAGTACCAGGGAACATGGGCAAGGCCTGGTTAGGGTTAAGGAACTGAAGAAGAAGGGCAGAGCTAGGTCTTTCAGCAGCTTCTCACTAAACCAAGCACGTAAATGGGCCAGGACAGTTACCTGAACAAGGGACACATGCTGTGACCTAAGACACTGGCTCTAACTTCACCAAGTAAGAACTATATCTATATACAAAGGAGGGGCTGGAAGGAAGCATGGAAAAAGTAAAACAATTGGATTAGTGCTGTGGTCACGGTGATGGTTTTAAACCATAAGAACACGAGAGCAGGGACCCACCTTTACTGAGTGGCTGCACACACAGACAGCTGATCCATGCCAGGCATTTCACATCGTCCTCCTTTAATGCTGTGCAGCCCCACACCCCTAGCCCAAATCCTGGCTTCTGCCCTTTGCTCGCTGCCCTCCTCTCCCCCATTGTGCGCACCCTGAAGCCTCGTCTCAGATCCCGCCCTCCTGCTCTCCCTGCAGGATGTGTTTACCCACCAAGGGCCTGCGCACTGGCACCTGCCTTGCCCACCCATCTTACGCTCACACGTCCTGTGCTCCTGGCAGACCAACACGCTGCCTGCCCTGTGCACACCCCCTGCCCTGCCCCATCTAAATCCTCCCCACTCCTCAGTGTTTGACTCAGGTCTCACCTCCTCCATGAAGTCCCCTCTGACTGACCAGTCTAAATAGAAATTTAGGGTTTGTTCTTCCTTGGCTTTCTGAAGGGAACCCACAGGCCCAGAGCCTTTCTCAGAGCCACTGCCCAATCGTGCTGCAGAGGTTCACAACAGAGAGCTCCCGAGAGCGACGAGCTACTGCTACAGACAGTGGGGAAGGGAAGCTGCAGAGCCCGGGGCCCTCACGCTCAGGGAGGAAACGAGGTTCTCCCTGCTGACCTGCTCCCCTCCCGAACCCCAAAAGCTCCCAAATTACCCTCTCTAGTTCTCCCACCCAAATCAACACCCAATACCAGCATGCTGCTTGTGACCAGAGTCAATAAGTCACTCATGAGGCAGAAAAAGCCGGGACCAGAGACCTTGGCTGCAGTCCTGGCCTCACTGACTGTTGGCTCTGTGGCCTTCTCCCTTGTGTCAGAGTGGGGACATGTGATCAGCCCAGTGCCCTGGGCGATTTAGAAGAGCAACTCCCAGCATGTGAGCTCCACGCAGAGGGACTCCAGCATACGCAGTGCCACGCAGGGCTTTATCAGTAACCACCATGCAAGCGGAAGGGGCATGCTGAACTGCGGGATTCTCAAGTGCTGGCACGACCATATCAAGTAAGATTTTTCAAAAGGTATGGTGAGAGAGGTCTTAAGCGAAGGATGAGCAGAATTTAACTTTTTTACGTTGTCAATATCGTGACTATGTAATACATAGTATTTCACGTAATAAGATCACAAATGAGTAATTTGAAAAAGTCCCCTTTGAAGAATACAGCCTCTTTACCCTGCAGCCCAGGCTGCCCCAGGCCATGCTCCCTTCGACGGGGTCCCCTTTGCCCACAGTCTCCTTCAGTTTGAATTTCTGTTGGCTTGACGGGTTTCAGGGGTGACACTGCATCTCACATAAGTTTTCTCATCTGAGCCAACATCGTTTCTGGGCCTGCCATGCAAGGGAGGAAACAAGCTGCCCACCTGCACATCTGCTTTCCACACGTTACTGATGTCGAGTCCTTGGAGAATACACCGCATCACCAGCCTGAAGTCCTCCGTCGTCCCGACCTCTAACATTTGGGTTAACAAGGCTCCCAAATGAGGCTCGATTTCCTGCATTACCTGAATGGGAACTTCAGGATCTGTATAGAAAAGAATCCAAGACTGTTATAATGTGACCAAGAACAGACAGGTGAAATAAACTACACAGTAGCTACATGACGAAACTGTGTATGGCCATGCAACCATTAAACATCATGATGTTAGGGGCACGGTAATACAAGCAGAGCACACATTTAGAGTGTGATCCCCTCTCTCATACACACAGCTGCACCTGTGCGTGGTGTGTGCACACAAAAACACAGATGATAACCATGCTTAGGAGCAGTTAAATCTGTACCACGGAAGACAGGTGACTATTACTTTGTTTACATAGTTGACTCTTGAACAACACGTTTGAACAGCAAGGGTCCACTTATACGTCCATCTTCTTCCACCTCTGCCACCCCTGAGACAGCAAGACCAACCCCTCCCCCTTCCTCCTCCTCCTCCTCCTCAGCCTACTCACCATGAAGATGATAAGGATGAAGACCTTTATGAGGATCCACTCCCACTTAATGAATACGAAACGTATTTCCTCAATAACACTTTCTTTTCTCTAGCTTACTTTATAATAAAAAATGCAGTATATAATACATATAACAAAATATGTGTCAACTGACTGTTATCAGTAAGGCTTCCAGTCAACAGTAGGCTATCAGAAATTTTGGGAGAGTCAAAAGTTACATGTGGGTTTTTGATGGTGCAGGAGTGTTGGCACCCTGACCCCATGCTGTTCAAGGGTCAAGTGTATTATTTTTTCTATTTTCTTTATATTTCTTTTACAAAATCAGTAGGGGTGCAGGAGTGTGGTGGTATTTTTAAACAGATGGGAATGTCAAAAAGATCAAGAGAACCCTAAACTTCTTGGGACCCTCTGCTGAAGTCACCCAGCGCTTCCCAGCATCCTCGGTGTCCTCTGGCCCCTGGTTTCATGATAAAGCCCAAAGTTAGAGCATTCAGGTCCTTTAACATCTGACCCCAGCTCACCTTTCCAGAAGATCAGCCCCATCAGATCGTTCCACATTGCCAGAACACCTCCCCACTTCCTGTCTTTGCGTACTACTTACAGCACTGGGGGAAGGGGGGACCAAAAGCTTTGAGATAAAAATCTAAGTCTGAGTCTCCTACAAGCTGTAAGACCCTGGACTCATGACATCTCTGAGCCTCAATTCCCTCATCAGTGAAATGGGCATAAAAGCACCAACTCTTGTGGCTGGCGAATAAAAAAAGAACACAGAGGTCATGGCAGAGTGCCCTCAGATGGAAGGTTCTGCTACCTCCACCTGCCCTAGCTACCTTTTGAAAGCCACTCAAGCTTAGCCTGCATGCAGCCTCTCAACCCAGTCCCGTAGTTCTGGTTCACTTTCTAGCACCTCACCGCCCTCTACTCTGTGATTTGTGTCAATGTCTGTTTAGTTAATTAGATAAACCAAATCAACACCCTGTTCAGCTCCAGAGAAGTATGCAATTCCACATCCATAGGAAGCACTTTTAAAAATGTTGATTCCGTATCCGAATTGAGGTAATCTGTCTGGCAAAAATCATTCTTTATAAAAGCTCACTTTTACCTCTGAGCTACCCCTGAGGACACAGGGAACTCCGCCAAGGACTGGTTCACCTGCGTGGCCGCCTTCACACTCCCTGTCCCTGCCCAAAGCCTTGGGCCACTCCTCCCTTGGCACTTCTTCCAGAACACTTCACCACTCTGGCACTTCTCTGGACAGAGTCCAACAGCTCAGGTGTATGAGGCCTGGATGCAGCAAGCTCCAAGCCCATGGGCTGTGGGCACAGCGTGGCAAGCTGACCTTGCCCAACCCTGAATTCACTGTGACCAAGGGGCTCTGTCCCTGGGGTAAGAGGTAGCAGAAGTCCAGGGACATACAGTTAGGGCTTCGAGACAGCCTCAACTCACCAGGGCAGGAGGGGAAAAGGGGGACATGGTACTCTGTTTAGCAAAGGGGCAGAAGGGCCAGGGCTTCAGACCACCAGCTGCCCTTTCTTAGGAGGTTCCTTTAGAACACTGTGACTAGTCTTAACAAAAGACTCAATTTTAGCTCCCAGTAAGAAGGTGAACACCATATCCTAAAAGAGTCGCTGACAGAATAAGACAGAACAACATAATATCAAAGCCTTTTTAGTTAATCCACAATCAAGCCAGAGACAGAGAGGTTATTGAGAGGGAGACAACAGCAGCATTATTTGGGCCATGACGCTTCAGTTCTGGCAATGGCCCAGGCAGACCAGGTGGCTTTACTTCCTAGAACCCATTTAACCCTCACGTGTCTGAGGCATGCCGGTGGCCCCATCCTATCCCAGCTACTCCACCGGGAATCACAGAACTCAGTGTGTATGCCAAGGGTCAGGTGTGGCTCCCTGATCCCTGACCTCACCTCAAGAGAGTTCTAAACCCAACCCCAAGGACTTCATAACCACCAAAATGAAAAAGAAAAGACCCACACCACTGTGGTGTGTGCTATCTTGAAACAAGGAAGAAATCTGATCTGTTAACTACTTAGTGTCCTTTCAGGGGAATAAAAGTATATTTTATTTTTATACACTAGTAAGGGTAACAAATCTTAACGATCTTTCACTATATTATTTAAATTTAGTCCTTTTTTAGAGGAAAATCTTACCTAGCTCTAAATGGATATCCAAAAATATTATAATCTATCCTCTACTTGTGGCAAATTTAATTAAAACATAGAAAAGTATTGTTATGATTATTAAAATATAATATTAAAGTGGTATAAAATAAGAAAGTAGCAATAATTATAACACTTCAATACAATGATTATTTTAATTTTTGCATGTGTTTCTAGCCCTTGTCTACGTGTATATACATTTTATAGAGTTGGGATTTTTTTTTAATAATTTTTTATTTTTTAGCCAGAGCCACGCCCAAGAAGCCTTGAGCAAGTTGTAATCATGGCATATTTAACATTTTATATGGTAGTACACTTTTTGCTTAACATATTTTTTAGATATTTCAAAACAGTTTTCATAATTATCATTTTAATAGCCACATGGTAACCCATTAATCTTTGACCTAGGGACTGCAGAGATCAATTCTTCATGCAAAAAGACATGAGTTTTCTCGCTCCAAGCTGTGTTTGGGGTCCTGGTTAGCTGCCTGCAAGATGACATCTGACCGATACTTTGATGATGTCGCAGTTGAGCCGCTGTCCAATTAGCACTCACTGCACCTGGCACTGCCCTGACACCAGGGGGCTGAACTAAGGTAGGTACAGTCCTGCCCTCAAGGAATTGTATGCAGCTCCTTAGAAAGTAAGTCATTTATACTTTTTTAAAGTTGGCAGGTTTTACATCTTTTTAAGCTCAATTTATGGCACTGAAAACCTGATACAGAAGAGCCTACTAAGGATGCAGTTATCTGTGTGACTCAGCCCCGGTCAGGACAAGTGAAAGGCTAAAAAACAGGAGAGGAGTAGACTTCAAAACTATAAACTTATATAAAACAATCTCCAAGATAAGTGAGCAACTGAGGTGCTGAGAGACTTACCTAGGAGGCTGCCATTTGTGTAAAAAGTGGGGACACAGTTTTAAGGGCAATTGTTTACATGTGCCTAGAATGTAGAAGTGGACATGAAGTCGTGGGTGCCAGGCCTGGGAGAGAGACCTTCTCCCTGCTCCTGTGCGGTGCCTGAATACACCACGTGTTCACTTATTCACTGTTCCAAAAAGCATCGCAGGGAGGTGGCAACCTCTATGGTGCAGAATTAGCTCAAGAGAAATATCTTACCTGCAAGAACTTTTCTCACAGAATGAAACATGGAGGTAAACACAGACTCCTTCTTGGGGTGGAGTTCTGGGGCCAAAAAGAACAGGGTTAAAAACTGCAAGGCTGCCTGAAAAGACTGATCGTGTCCTGCCAGAGCCGGCAACTCTGACAGCACCTGAGAGTAGATGCCCTGGTACAGGGCAGCGCGGGAGAGCAGTGTGTTGTCTGTCACTTGGGAAACCTCGGCCCCGCCATCCCTGCAGCACGGGTTCAGGTCCGCTTCCAAGAGCGTGTTGACAGACGAGATGAGCACTGAGGGAAGGTGCTGGACCCCGGTCCCTGGCGGGAAGCAGAGCTGCACCACGGTCCCCGTCTGCCGCACGGCCTGCTGCAGCAGCTCAGCCAGTGCTGCTGGGGCCTCCTGGCCCGGCTTCTCCTCCTTCACGTAAGGTCCCAAGACTTGGCACAACTTGGTTAAAGACACCAGAAGGAGTTGCCTGCTCAGAGCTTTCTGACTGTCCAACTGTTTGCCAGAGGCTGCCTCAGTGCACAGTTTACAACTAGAGAGGAATGTGGTGATTTTTCCAAAATTGAGCACCAAGCTCAGCTTCATTTGGATGAGCATCTGCATCAGCTCCTCCAAGAATGTCCCTATCACTTGGAGGAGTTCCAGCCAAGAGGGGTCGTCCGTCTCAATAAGGAATCTACCACTGGCTTTGAACAATGAGGTCAGTACGATCTCAAAAAGATCACTAGCATACATGGTCTTGAACACCAAGCGGGCGCTTCTTCCCCTTTGTAGGTAACCAAGAAGCTGGTAGCAAGTTATCAAGAACTTGAGGGCCAGTGAGGAGGAGCAAGAATGCCCCAGTTTGGTGACAGCCAAGGACAGTAACATAAGAAAATAATGTACATGATGGGGTGGCAAAAAGCTGTCCAGCTGTAGAGTGGAAATAACTTCCAATAGCCCCAAGATGCTTTCTAACTGTTCTCCCTCCAACTGGAAAGGGAAGTCACTCTTGACCAGGGAGAGTAAGTTCTGAGCAATTTCTTCTCTGGGTTCTATACCTTCGGGTCCAACTTTTACAAATCTGTTTTCCCAATGAGCCACAGCTGTGTGGTCCTTTTCAAAAAGCCAGGGAAGCTGCTGACTGAGAAGACCCTGGTCACTCTGAGCACCAGAACACAGAATGCGAGAACACCTCACAGTTATGCACATTAAGAAAGCGGAATGAAGGGGCTGCATCTCTGGAAAGAGGGGGCTGTGAAGGATCGCCTTGGATATATTTTCAAGCGTGATGTATGGCTCTTCATCTACTGAGCCTTCCTGGGCTTTGCTCATTGGTAAAGTTCTCAGCAGGACACTGGCCAGGTATCTCACATCATCTGGACAAAGATAGGATATTAAAATTGTGAGATTCGACACAATTAAGTGCCAGTGTGCTACCGGGTATGTGAGTGCACTCACTGTCCCTACCTGGCCATCCCAGGAAGCTGTCGTTCTTTGATTCAAGCTTTCTCGGCCAGAACCAATAATATAGGCAGCATCACACCTCAAAGTTTGGAGGGCTTCTTCAGATAGAACACTGGTTTGCATTAAAGTCCTTTTCATTTTCTGCAGGTAGAGTTGTTCTAAGCAATACCTGCCGAGAGAGTTGAACTGAGCTGTAAACGTCTCTATCTTCTTCCAAACTCGTGTTTCTACACCTGGGAGCAACGAAGGGAGGTTCGAGATCTCCAGAGCAACACCTGTCAGCGCCCCAGACACAGAGTGATACTGGCTGCAGTTCATACTGCACATGGTATCCACGTGGGCCCAGGTGTAAGAGAGCAGGAGTACAGAGTCACTGACCTTCTGCAGCCACAGCTCAACTTCTGGGCCCGGGGGGCCCAGGAGAAGGGCCAGCAGGGGCTGCACAATCTCTCCTAGCATCCTCTCCATCATGCATTGTGTCCGTCTGATGATGGGCAGGGGTGTGCTACTGTCCAGGCTCCTCATGTTGAACATGACACAGTGTAGCAGTGTGCTAAGAGACAGTGACTTCAGGGCCATGTCAACATCACTCCGCAAACAGGGCAAGACTAAAGACTGAAACTTTTCCAGCACAAGGGACCACGTGTCCAAGATCTGGCTTGGGGGCAGCTCCAGCAGGCATGCACAGAGCACTGTGGAGGGCCCTGAGGCCAGCACAGGCTGCCTCAGCACCTCCGCAGCTGGACGACAGATCACCCCTAAAACCTCCTCAAACAACCGTGGTACTTGTCGGAGTTTGGCATATGTCTGGAAGAGAGTGTGAATAAGTGCCTCCTGGGCTTTTTTGGTTCGAAAATCTGTTACTTCTGCATCAATCCAAGCTGAAGCCAGCAGGTCATCCAGGTCTGGCTCCAAAATCAAATGATTCAGAGACATCAAAGTCTTGAGGCAGCGGAACCAGGCCGGCACAGATGCTTGTGGATGGTTCATCAGCAGCTCAGCCAAACAGCGGTAAAAGTGGAATTGAGCCTCTCCGTGCCGGATCCTGTCCGCAGCAATGTTATAGATATTGTTGCTGGCCACTGAGTTGAGCAGCTGTTCCACAACCAAAAGTTCTGTGGTCCAATCTGACGTGGACAGGGCTTTTACCTGCTTCTCCTGCAGCTCTGAAATCCTCAAGCAGCGAAACAGCCTGGGGAGAACCTGGAAGCAGAGAAGCTGGTTTCCTTCCTTGAAGTAAGAATCTAGAAAGAGCTTATAGAGCAAGGCCACCGAGTTTGCCACCACAGTGGCATGGAGGGATGGTGCACAGTAGCCAGCGCTGACCAGCTTGCTGATCACGGTGTCCATGGGAGATAGAAGGTTCTTCATGGCTCCCATCTTCACGTCCTCTTGCTGCTGGTCCAAGAGCTCCTCTTTGTAGGATGACAGCAGTTCGGGCTGAAAAACTCCACCCCGGAGCATGGCCTCAATCTGACTCCTAACATCCCGGCTCAGTGCCTGCCACAGCTGGCCCTGGCTGGCCTGTGTCCACGTGCCCCCGGAGAGTAAATGCCTCAAGACCAAGCAAGGCTGGAGCAGGTACCCGGTCACATCCCCAAAGGCACGTCTTGGGTTGACCTGCTGCTGCTGGATCAAGAGGTAATGGCCAAGAGCCAGGCGAATGACCTCAAACAACTGGGCCACCATGGCTTCTTCCGGCTGCCTACAGGCTGATAAGCACAACTGGCTCAGCAAGGCCACCAGCAGCTCCTGTTTGGCCGTGTAGATGACAGCAAGGGCAGGCGTTGAGAGGATGCCCTGGCAGCAGCTCAAGATGGCACAGATGTTTCTTCGGGATCCCGAATGAGAGAACTCAGTCACTCTCTCATTTATGATCTGAACATCAAGAAAGACAGGAAACTCATTACTGACCGTAAATACACACACACACACACACACACACACACACACACACACACACACACACACACAAAATGTTCAAAGGAATCAATATACTCAACCCTCCCCTTATCTTGGTGAGAAACAAACGTCCAGAGTATCATACTTCAGTGAACCTGACATCTGCTTAAGCAGTGCTCCCCAACCTTTTTGGCACCAGGGACCAATTCATGAAAGACAATTTTTCCATGGATGGGGGATGGGGGATGACAGGAGGCGGAGGGCTCAGGCAGCAATGTGCAGCCCACTTCCTAACAGGCCAAGGACCCATACTGGGCTGCAGCCTGGGGATTGGGGACCACAGGTCTAATGCATCAACATAAGGCAAAGCACCTGCTTTAATTCCTTCACACATCCATCTCCTATGAATACAAATCTGGAAAGAATCAGTGCCTTTGTAAATTTGCTGTCCCTTTCTAAAAAGCTGTGTTTTGTAAAGCTTAAATGCCGAAGATTACTTCCTTCTTAGATCTTAAACCTACAATTCAGCTTAGACGTTACCAGGTAGGTGGATAGTGGTCCTTGGGTTATGATCCTGTGGTCCAAAATACATGTTTATAGTCAACTGTACTTTTTCTATTAAAAAAGTCAAAGCAAATGGCACTCTTAAAAAAGGAAAGCCAAGGTTGCCAGTTACTACTTACAGAGCAGATCCATTGTCTACTGCTCTTAAAATTCCAAAATTCATAAATACCAGAAATTATGAGAGCCAGACAGATTCCTGAGTTCACTCACTGGCTAAGTGATTTGCTCCCAGACTTATGGAATCCGAGAATAAAATTTATCCTGCGTGTTAAGTTATCAGTAGTCCAGTGAGATAGCTACTATTATTTCCATTCACATAACTGCCAGCCATGGACCTTTAGAGTCCTTATGGAAAAGCTGTAACAAAAATATCAAATCCTTAAATGCCAGTGCATTCCAAATTTTTGATTATACTACTGATCAATAAAAATTTTTTCCACATTTACACCCAGTGTAATTTATTTCTAAATTATATACATATTACAGTACTATTTTATATAATTATAAAGCATACATAAAAATAGAAATTAAATAAGTATGTTTTTTTTTAAACATAGAGACATTCTAAGATTTGCTTCCTATACCCCAAAGGATGATTCAGAATTATCCACTTTGGTGACCACAGTCTATTATTTTAAAAAGTGACACAGTCCAGAACACAATTTCAAGAACCATTAAAGCCTACAAACCATCAGGTAGCTCAACTACAGTATTTCATTCTTCTCTGATTCTTCTGCTGATTTTCTCTACCTGCACACTCACGTGGGTGAGGGGTCTTGGTGGTTTCCCAGCACAGGCTTTGTATTCGGGCAGATCCAGGTTCAAATTCCAGCTCTGCCACTTACTAGCCATGTGACTTTAGGAAAGTTACTTAACCTCTTTGAGAACTAACACACTAAGTATCCGTTAGTAGTTCTTATTAGAACTAACTATTCTCACGATATTTCAACACATTCAGTTTTGACAATGAAGTTCATACTAAATCTGAGACTTCAAAATCACTTTCAGTCACAAACCTTTGAGGAAATTCCTACCCAGATTTTGGCCTTTGATCTCCCTCCAGGTAAAAGAAAGGTGAAGGGAAAAAAAGCTCAGGGTGCACAATTTGCTGGCTACCTTTTCCAGTGAGAAAGATAATCAACAACCTGTTCATAAAACATTTCTCAGCTTTTCTTGAATATTAAATATCAAAGTGCTTGGCACAGTATACAGCATACATGTACATTCAACAAACATCAATTATTATTATAATTCTAATAATATGATTACTTCCTTCTCCTCTTCTACCTTGATATTTCCTACATCTTCACATAATTAATGCTCAAACAAATAAGCCTCCAACACTAATGAGAAATCAACAGAGATGTATGTAACCCATACAGCACAACTGAAGAGACGGGCAATTACCTTGACGAGGGAAATCTGAAGGTTAATCGTCTTTCCATTCTTGAGGAGATTCTGCAATTTCCTGCTATGTAAAATGTTATCTATATAGATCCAAAGCCTTTCAACGATATCTTCCTTCAGTTCAAGTTTTTTCTTATAAAATGCAACCAGTGACTGTCTTGCCCAATCAAGCAACACCTGAATTTGGAGGAAACAAACACTGAAAATAAATAAATTTCTTTGCCAAGAGAGAAAGATGCTAGACTTTTGGACATTAAAGGTGTAACCAAATCCAATTGCCAGGAGAAGAAAAAAAACCTCTCCTTTAAAACTCACCTTTGGTAATATTATATAACATAAATGTTTTGGTATCTTAAAATGTTTATTATAAAGAATGAAAAAGGGAAAACAATTACTTTTATCTTCATGTAGGGCACATAAAAAGTTTGAGGTGAAACTCCAACACGTCTTATCTCCTTTTCTGAAGTTCTATAGACATATCTCATTTTATTGCACTTCGTAGATAATTGCATTTTTCACAAATTGAAGGTTTGTGGCAACCCTACATTGAGCAAATCTATTGGCACCATTTTTCCAACAGCACGTGCTCCCTGTGTGCTTCTGTATCACATTTTGATAATTCCAACATATTTCCAGCTTTTTCATCATTATTATATCTGTTATGGTGGTTTGTGATCAGTGATCTTTGATGTTATTATAATTGTTTTGGGGTGCCACAAATTCTGTCCTTATGAGACAGCAAACGTACCTGATAAATATTCTATGTGTTCTGACTGCTGTACCAATGGGTTATTCCCCCAACTCTCTCCCCATCTTCTGGCCTCCCTATTCCCTCAGATACAACAACATTGAAATTAGGCCAATTGATAACCCTACAATGGCCTCTAAGTATAGAAGTCAAAGGAAGAGTCACATATCTCTCACTTTAAATTAGAAGTTAGAGGCCGGGCGCGGTGGCTCACGCCTGTAATCCTAGCTCTCTGGGAGACCGAGGCGGGCGGATTGTTTGAGCTCAGGAGTTCGAAATCAGCCTGAGCAAGAGTGAGACCCCGTCTCTACCAAAAATAGAAAGAAATTCATTGTACGGCTAAAAATATATAGAAAAAATTAGCCGGGCATGGTGGCGTATGCCTGTAGTCCCAGCTACTCGGGAGGCTGAGGCAGGAGGATCGCTTGAGCCCAGGAGTTTGAGGTTGCTGTGAGCTAGGATGATGCCACGGCACTCTAGCCCGGACAACACAGTGAGACTCTGTCTCAAAAAAAAAAAAAAAAAAGAAGTTAGAGATGATTAAACTTACTAAGGCATGTTAAAAAGTGACGCATGCCGGGCGCAGTGGCTCACGCCTGTAATCCTAGCACTCTGGGAGGCTGAGGCGGGCGGATTGTTCTGAGCTCAGGAGTCCGAGACCAGCGTGAGCAAGAGCGAGACCCCGTCTCTACCAAAAATAGAAAGAAATTGGCCAAACAACTAAAAATAGAAAAAAAAAAAAAAATTAGCTGGGCATGGTGAAAAAAAGCTGTAAACGTACTAAACAGATCAGTGGCTCATATCAATTCAGAGAAGGTGAGGAATAAGATTAAGTGAAGAATGGGAGATTTTGGGGCAAAAAAAAAAAAAAAAAGAAGTGAGACAGGAATGCTGAGATAGGCTGAGAGCTAGGCCTCTTGAACCAAACAGCCAAGTTCTGAATGCAAAGGAAAAGTTCTTGAAGGAAATTAAAAGTGCTATTCCAGTGAACACATGAATGATAAGAAAGAGAAACAGCCTTATGGCTGAAATGGAGAAAGTTTTAGTGGTCATCATGATCAAACCAGCCACAACATTCTCTAAAGCCAAAGCCTAATCCAGAGCAAAGCCCTAATTCTCTTCAATTCTCTGAAGGCTGAGAGGGGTAAGGAAGCTGTAGAAAAATTTTGGAAGCTAGCAGAGGTTGGTTCATGAGGTTTAAGGTATAACATCAAAGTGCAAGGTGAAGCAGCAAGTGTTAATGTAGAAGCTATAGCAAGTTATCCAGAAGATCTAGCTAAGATCACTGATGAAGGTAGCTACCCTCAACAAACAGATTTTCAACACAGACGAAACAGACTTACACTCCAAGAAGATGCCATCTAGGACTTTCATAGCTAGAGAAGAGAAGTCAATGCCTGGTTTCAAAGCTTCAAAGGACAGACTGACTCTCTTGTTAGGGGCTAATACAGCTGGTGACTTTAAATTGGAGCCAATGCTCATTTATCATTCTGCACATTCTAGGGATTTTCCTAGGGATTTTTAAAATGATGCTAAATCTACTCTGGCTGTTCTCCATAAATGGAACAACAAAGCCTGGATGATAGCACATCTGTTTACAGTACAGTTTACTGACTATTTTAAGCCGGCTGTTGAGACCTACTGCTCAGGAAAAAAAGATTCCTTTCAAAATCTTACTGCTCACTGACAATGCACCTAGTCACCCAAGAGCTCTGATGTAGATGTAAAAGGAGATGAATGTTGTTTTCATGCCAGCTAACACAACATCCATTCTGCAGCCCATGGACCAAGAAGTAATTTTGACTCTCAAGTCTTATTACTTAAGAAATACATTTGTAAGGCTATAACTGCCATAGACTGTGATTCCTGTGATGGACCTGGGCAAAGGTCAATTGAAAATATTCTGGAAAGAATTCACCATTCTAGATGCCATTAGGAACACTCGTGATGAAGCATAAGAAGTCAAAATATCAACATTAACAGAAGTTTGGAAGAACTTGACTCCAAAGCTCATGGATGAATTTGAGAGGGTGAAGACTTCGGCAGGGAAGTAACTGCAGATGGGGTGGAAATAGCAAGAGAACTAGAATTAGAAGTGAAGCCTGAAGATGGGACTGAATTGCTACAATCTCATGATAAAACTTGAATGGACCAGCCTGAACAAGAGCGAGACCCTGTCTCTACTTAAAATACAAAGAAATTAGCTAGACAACTAAAAACATATATAGAAAAATTAGCCGGGCATGGTGGCACATGGCTTGTGGTCCCAGCTACTCAGGAGGCTGAGGCAGTAGGATTGCTTAAGCCCAGGAGTCTGAGGTTGCTGTGAGCTAGACTAATGCCACAGCCCTCTAGCCTGGGCAACAGAGCAAGACTCTGTCTCAAAAAAAAAAAAAAAAAAAAAACTTGAATGGATGAGCAGTTGCGTACGGATGAGCAAAGAAAGTGGTTTCTTGAGATTGAATGTATTCCAGGTGAAGATGCTGTGAAAACTGCTGAAATGGCAACAAATGATTTAGAATATTACATAAAGACAGCTGATAACGTAGTGGCAGGTTTTGAGAAGACTAAGTCCAGTTTTGAAGGAAGTTCTACTGTGGGTAAAATGCTATCAAACACCATTCACAAGACACAGAGAAATTTTTCGTGAAAAGAAGAGTCAACAGATGGGGGAAACTCCACTTCTGTCTTATTTTAAGAAACTGCCACAGCCATCTCAATCTTCAGCAACCACCACCCTGAGAGTCAACAGCCGTCAATATGGAGGCAAGATCCCCCACCAGCTGATTTCTTACATTCAGCTGACCAAAATAAAAAAAAAAGACCCTCCACCAGCCAAAAAAAAAAAAATCACTGAAGTCTCAGATGATCATTAGTACTTTTTAGCAATAAAATTTTTTTAGGCCAGGCGTGGTGGCTCACCTTTGTAATCCTAGCACTCAGGGAGGTCGAGGCAGAGGGATCACCTGAGGTCAGGAGTTTGAGACCAGCCTCAGCAAGAGTGAGACCCCTGTCTCTTACTAAAAATAGAAAGAAATTAGCTGGGAAACTAAGAAAAAATAGAAAAAATTAGTTGGACATGCTGGCTCACGCCTGTAGTCCCAGCTACTTGGGAGGCTGAGGCAGGAGGATCCCTTGAGCCCAGGAGTTTGAGGTTGCTGTGAGCTAGGCTGATGCCACGGCACTCTAGCCCAGGCAACAGAGCAAGACTCTGTCTCAAATAAAAAGGCATTTTTTAATTAATGTACTTTTTTTAGACATAATGCTATTGTATACTTACTAGACTACATAACTTTTATATGCACTAGGACCAAAAAATTTGTGTAACTTGCTTTATTGCAATATTCACTTCATTGCAGTGATCTAGAACCAAACCCGCAATATCTCTGAGGTATACCTGTACTAAGTTTTAAAAGTTAATTTTAATAAAAGCACAACAACAACTGGTTAGAATGATCACAGAATGAATCACACAAAGTAAAAAAGCAAAGAAGAGTCAAAAGACTAGGATTTGTGTCCTGGCTTCCCCAAGTTACCTGCAGCTTAACATCTAAAACTATTTATACCTTATCCGGGAGACAGTCAATATGAAATAACGCATGAGTGCTTTACAAAAATGAGGATTGTACACGTATAGTTTCCATTATTGTCATGTTTTCTCATTCACAAAACATTGAAGAAAGGTGGTGAGACCTCAGCCCACAATACCAGAGCTGTCAATAACAGTATGAATAGTGACAGATGCCAAAAGGAAAAAATCTCTCAGGAAAAGGACAGCGGAAACACTGATCAAATTGCCTGCCAGGGCCCCCTTTGTTTCACCCTTTGCAGCACTTGCCAGGTGACCATCAACCTGCCAAGATGATTCTGATGTGCAGTCGTGTAGAAACTACTAGATACATGATACTTGCTCTACATACTGTACTTCATCATCACTTTAACTTGTGAAATCCATCTTTGACACATTTTGTGCTGTATTCTTTGATACGAACAAGTGGTTGTACATAAATTCAATTCATGAGCTTGTCATTGTGGCATTTATCATAGTAACTATTTTTTTTAGCCAAAAAGGCTTGAGAAATATAAAAGAGCGCTATCTTTCTTGGTACCTACACTATTTCTGGAATGGTTTTATATAAATACTAATACTTCTCTACTTCCCAACCTTCAATTTATAAAATTCTGAATATTTTGAAGAAAGCACCACCAAGCAATTGCTTGCAGAATGTCACTTAGGATTTGTATACAAACAGAGCTACCAACACTTTCAGAACCTAACGTGTATAACTTAATTCCCAGTGTGTTCACTAATGCATATATTTAATGCATGATATAATGTTTCCCAACAAAAGAAATGTGATTTTGTAACAGAAAAACTTTGTTAATGAATTATGACTCATTACTTTTCTCACTTTTAACTTTTAAAGAAGTTTCCTCCCCAATCTTTTTTTTTAATTAATTAATTAGGGATTTTTAAAATGATGCTAAATCTACTCTGGCTGTTCTCCATAAATGGAACAACAAAGCCTGGATGATAGCACATCTGTTTACAGTACAGT